TTATCCATCAGCCAATGAGAAGATGTTTCTAAATTCTAGCATCTTTTCACTTTACTTTTAAATACTAAGAATACTGAAGTGCCATGGTCTTTAATGTAAACTTTCTCCAGCAATCCTGTCTCAATCATATTAAGGAAGAACTCCGCTAAAGAATCCTCAGTTTTTCAACACCCAGAAAGATTCCAAAGTGGCTTTTTTAAAGTACCTTTTATTATAGTTCTGATTTGCTTTAACTACATACATAGTTTCCCTCTTTGGAAACTGCTGCTGTAGTGAAGACAATGAGTGCTCTGTACCTTTATGGGGTTATAATTAAATAGAACGGGAATATACTAAATTTATTGATGTCATATTAAACATTCATGAATCCATGCAGTTTTCAAATCAATAACTGAAAGTTATTGCTAGAGCTAGTTATTAGATGCCAGAGCATCTAAAACTCAAAAGTAGCATCTTATTAGTATTAAAAGTTTTTTTTCGGTCTGCAAATTCACCTCAAAGCAATGATCAGCAACATTTTTAAAGTAGTTTGTTTATTTATTTCTCTTAGCTAAGTCCAGACCTCAAGATTTATTATCAGGTCTTTTAAGAAACTTAATTGAATTGTAAAATATTAGTTGCTCATGGGTAGGCTGAGCCAATATAATAAAAACGACGATTCTATCCAGATTAATTTACATATTCAGTGCCACACCAATTAAACTACCCAAGAATTACTTTATAGAGCTAGAAGCAATAATAACAACATTCAACTGAAGGAACAAAAGGTCAAGAATATCAAGGGAATCAACTAAAAAATGTAAAGGAAGGTAACTTAGCAGTACCAGATTTTAAACTATATTACAAGGTGGTAGGCATCAAAACAATCTGATACTGCTTAAGAAATGTTAGATCAGTGGAATAGATTAGGTACATAATACACAGTAGTAAATGACTATAGTAATCCAGTGTTTGATAAATCCAAAGCTTCAAGCTTTGGGGGGGAGGGAAATTCACCATTTGACAAAAATTGCTGGGAAAACTGGGGAGCAATTTTTGGCAGAAACTAAGTATAGACCAACGTCTCACAAGGTATGCAGAGATAAGGTCAAAATGGGTTACATAATTTGGACACAAAGGGTGATATCATAAGCAAATTAGGGGAGCATGGAAAATTTCACCTGCCAGATGTATACGTAAGGGAAGAGTTTATGACCAAACAAGACAGAGAGAGGATCATGTAAAGTAAAATGGATGGATAATTTCAATTATATGAAATTAAAAAGGTTTTGCACAAACAAAACCAATGCAGCCAAAATTTGAAGGAAAGCAGGAAACTGGGGGAAATATTTTTACAGCAACTTTCTTTGATAAAGGCCTCCTTTCTCAGACATATCAGGAACTGAGCCAAATTTATAAAAATAAGAGCCATTCCTCAATTGGTCAGAGGATATGAATAGGCAGTTTTCAGAAGAAGAAATCAAAACTACCAATAGTCACACAAAAAAATGCTCTAAATCACTATGAGAAATACAAATTTAAATAACTCTAAGGTACTACCTCACACCTATCAGATTGGCTAACATCACAGAAAAGGGAAATTATAAATGCTGGGAAAATAGGGACACTAACGCACCATTGGTGGAGTTGTGAACTGACCTAGCCATTCTGGAGAACAGTTTGAAACTATGCCCAAAGGGCTGTAAAACTGTGCATACTCTTTGACTCAGCAATACCACTATTCCCAAAGAGATCAAAGAAAAGGGAAAAGAACCCAAAAGTACAAAAATATTTATAGCAGTTCTTTCGATGGTGGCAAAGAATTGGAAATTGAGAGGATGTCTATCAATTGGGGAGTGGCTGAGCAAGTTGTAGTAGATAATTGTGATGGAATTAATATGCTGTAAGAAATGATGAGCAGGATGCTTTTCGAAAAACCTGGGAAGGCTTACATGAACTGATGCAATGCGAAGTGAGCAAAACCAGGAGAACTTCGTACACAGTAACAGCAATATTGTAATGAACTGTGAAACTGTGAAAGACTTAGCTACTCAGATCAAGACAATGATCCACAACAGCTCCAAAGGACTCATGATGAAAAATGCTATCCACCTCCAGAGAGAAAACTGATGAGCTCTGAGTGCAGATTGAAACATACTTGTTTTATTTTCTTTCTATCTCCTGCTTTTTATTTTATTTTATGCAACATGGCTAATATGAAAACACATTTTGCATGACTTTACATGTATAATTGATATCATATTGACTGTCTTCTCAATGGGTTAGGGGAGGGGCAGGAAGAAGGGGAAGAATTTGAAACTCAAAAAAAATTTTTAATTAATGTTAAAAATGAATCAATTAAAAAAACTTGAAGTATTATTTTAAAAAAACAGTTAGTTGAAGAGAAAGCTAACTGCTTCAGCATTTGCTTGCTTTAGTATTACAATTCCAACTGCTCTAAACAAAAGACCTCCAGTTACCATTTCCTCCATCTTTATCTTCCCTTAGGACTCTTACTATCCCAGGACCCAGAGAAGCGGGTATGTATTCCTTTCCCCCCACCCCTGAGCTTCAAGCCTTGATTGGAATGTATTTGTTATGTATACCTACCCCCTCAAAACTCTCAGTTACTGTTTAAAGAGTTATTGTTAAAGGCACTGCTTTTACCAGTTTGCTGCTGTAGAAGGAAATTCACTATAAACAAAGCTCTTTAAAGATTGGGATAAAGGAAGGAATCAAGCATTTATTAAGTGCTTACTAGGTTAGACACTGTGCTAAGCACTTTACAATGATCTCATTTTATCTTTACAACAACCCTGGGAAGTAGGTGTTATTGTTATTTCCATTTTACAGTTGAGGCAAACAGAAATTAATTGACTTGCCCAGGAGATCACACAGCTATGAAGTGTCTGAAGTTGAATTTAAACTCGGGTCTTCCTGATGCCAGGCCTCAATGCTCTGTTTGATTTGCTCTCTTTCAGAGAGAAAGGTCCAATAGCAAAAAAGGACTCAGGAGCCAGTAGCTGGCTCAGTCTCATTTACAGATACCAGTTTGCTTTAGGGGATGTTTTTTTTTTTTATAGTTCTACTATAACTCCTTGCAACACCCCAGTTTGAGAAATACTGTTTTACATTTCTATAACACTTCCCAATGAAGACAAGTTCCTTTGCATCCAGAACATTAAGCTTGATTTCCTCTTCTGAATATGCTCCCAAATTTATAGATTTTTGATTTAGAAGAGCCCAGTGCACATCTGATTCAACCTGTATCTCAAAAAGACTCCCCTGAAAACAGAAACTCTGGATGCCAAGCAACACTTGGCCTGGAGTTAGAAAGACCCAAGCCTTGAAGTACTGGCCGAATCTGATTAAAATATAATTGGGAAATGTTTTACAAAATAAATAAAAATTTTATAAACATATACACACACACACACACATATACATATACATGTACACACACATATGTGTATATAAAATTTGTGGTTTTCTAAGTCAACATGACACCAAGGACATCTGTTTCTGTTTGAGTCTGACATTACTACCCTAAGACATGATCATCAAATAGCCATCGAAGCTTTTGAGAAAACCTCCATTGGAGGGAAAACCACCACCTGCCAAAGCAAACCTATTCTGCTTAACATGCTTTAATTTCAAAGGCAGGAAAATATTAATATTCACTTTTAGAAATATTCCAAGTGTCCAATATATACCCCCCCTTTCCTCTCTCCAAATGCTCCTAAAAGCAGCCTTAGGATGAACTGGCCAATTTAATGGTATAGACACTAAAGTATTCCAAATCAAGGGTTGAAGTAGGGTCTAGGTGGGGAGGGAGAAGGAGAACCTATCATATGCAACCCTATTCCTTTCAATTTTAGGTGGTGGGGTGGGACCAAAAAGAGGAAGAGAAAGGATTGTTCTAAGGCAATTGGTACTTAATCCTGGGGACCAGGATTAAATCTTGCCAAAAGAAGCTCCTTGAAGGGAGGAACTGTTTCATGGTTCCTTTTGTATAAAAGGCAAAAGTTTATGGAAAAAAAAATTTTTTAAGTTTTGAATAGGAACACTGGCTCTACTCAAGTACTGACCCAAACTCATTCTCATCCTTGAGATAGTTCATTCAAAATGGAAGAATTGTATTCTTGCCATCTGGGTTTACAAACATACCTAGCTCCCATGGAAGACCTCTTAAACCTTCTTGACATCATCTGACATACGGGTTTAAAACAAAAGAGTGGTTTGTTGGCTGGCAAAAACAAACACAAAACAAAATCTTACCACCAAATATTTTTATTACCATTAAATAATGTTTTTCTTTCAAAAATACATTTTACTGATATCTTTTGTTTTTACATCACCAACGTTTTCCTTTGTTATTCCTCCCCCACCCTCTGAGAGTCACCTGTTATTTAAAATAAAAAGTTTGGCAAAACCAATATATTGAAAAGTCTGACCTATGAAATGTTTTTCAAATAATTTTCCTGATTTTTTAAACAGTCCATGGAATAGGAAGGAAAAAAAATTTGTGAAACAAGTAACCCAGTGATAATGAAGATCTGTAACTCAAAACTAGTGACAATTTGGAATGTATCAAAATACTGTACACATCTAATTTAAGGATGGCTATAAATCTCAAATATCAGCAACCATTTTTAAATACAAATTACTTGTAATAGTTTTGCTATCTCTGCGAAGGTATTTTTAGTATTAAAAACAAATCCTCAAACTGTATTTTTGCATGATTTAAAGAGGTTCATCAAGTTAGATACATTAAAATGTATTTAAGGAAATTTGTTGGTTCTTACAAATGTACTGTATTCTTAGTTCTTCCTCACTCCTGTTATGAAACACAGAGATACTGACATCTAGTGGTAAATATCTAAGCAATTAATACATAAACAGTAACCAAAAGCATGAAGAATGCCAGAGCTAGAAGATACCTGAGAGGTTATTTAATCCAACCTACATTAGAAGCATGAATCTCTTCTATGTGGTATTTTGAAAACAAAACAACTCGCAAAAACAAATACACACAATGATTTATTTAGATGTTTCTTAAGGACTTAGCACAGAAAATCTGTACAAATGAGACAAATAAATACAAGCTTTTCCCTCTTTCCCCTCCCCCAAGTCACCACTCTAATAGCATACATGATTGAAACTCGTACAGTAGAAGAGTGCAAATAATGGGCATAATTCTTTCAATATTGTCCAATGTCATTGAGATTCTGATAATTATTTTAGGGGAAGATGCTACAATTGAAGAGTATTTCTTTTAAGGTTGATTGTACAGAATTGTGTGAATTGTACAGCAGAATGAATCCAAAGAGATTAGAACGCCAGGGCTGGAAGTCTTTTTACTGGCCATCTCCTCGGACCCCTCATCTCGGGAATGGGAGGACAGGAGCACAGAATTAACTGATTTGCCTTGGGTCACAAAGCTCTTAAATGGCAAAGCCAGGACTACAACTGTGGTGCTTCGAGTCCTGCTCCAGTCAGTGTTCTTTCCTGGTAGAACCAAGTTGCCTTTCCTTGAGGAATTCTAATCCAAAGCAGTCTCAGTTCACATTCTAGCAACATTAAGTTGTACCTTGCTTTATACATCAGACCGATAAAAAGTTTTTCAGGAATGATCTAGTTTTTATAAGCCAATTTGTATTTTTTTGTGTAGTAGAAAGGCTAGCTAAAGAAAGGAAACCCGTGTTAAGTCCTTTAAAAAAAGGATCACCTTTTAAAAAATTCAATCCCTAGCATCTGTTTAAGTTCCAAATTGTAGCTAGCCAAATAAGGTAAGAATTGTGCTGTGAAGATCATGTATGGATGTGTATTTCAAAGCTGAGGTAGGACTGTCACACAGGGATTCCACAAAATTATATGCCAGCTCTTTGCCAACAGAAGAGCAGGAGAAATTCTCAAGCATTAATTATGCTTTGGGGAAATACCTAATTCATCTTGGTGCCACACTACAGTGGTGACTGGGACAAACTGAAAAACAGATATGATAACATAGTGCAAAGATAAATTTGTCCACTCAAATCAGAGGGATTTCTCCCACCCCTCCAGACTATTATGTTCCATATTATCATAATATTTTAATTTTCAAATATGTACAATTTATAAAAATGATTGCAGTTGAGATATATCATACATATATGGATGGTTGCAGGAAATCAGCTTACTTGATCTTGGAATCCAAAATTCATAACTAATAAAGAAGTATTTTTAAAATGGAAAAATACCATTTTAAATATAATATAAAGAAAAATAATTTGTGAACAAAACAGACTATAAGTACTTTTGGGGAAGTTCAAGAAATAAAAAACACTTTTCAAAAAATAAAGAATGTTCACTGACTTGCAAACAATCTAAAAAAATTTTTCCTTAAGTTACAGTGTGGCCATCACTGTGCAAATTGAAATGGGGGTATTAAAACCATTAAATGATTTTCAAGTGAACATTAAGAAAATCAAAACAAAAAAATAGATCTGGCAAATTGATATAAAAAATATAATCTAGTGTACTGGCACCGAGTACAAAAGTGTCAGTAAGAGTTCATTACAAGATCATGATCATTAGGGTAAATACTTTCAACAATATTGACTTGTATAAAAATATAACCTACTGCTTAAATTTTATATAGGGACTTAATTCATACCACAAATACTGCTTTTAAATATGTAAGTACTCTATAATCTCTAATGACAGTAATAACTGCTGGTGTTTGTTCACCTTAGATCATGAGCTGAATGACATGCTGTGCAGTTTTAATTAAAATGGGCTCTAGTTAAATTCTCCTAAGTGTAAATCATGCAATTATCTCTCACCAAATGTCAGAACCAATATAACAGTCAATCCCCAGTATATCCCAAAGCATCCTGGGCTATCTTCTGAGCACCTTCTTGCAGCGTCCATGAATCAGCATCATTTTCTTGAAGGAGAGTAGAAGTGGTGATTACAGCTGGGTCAGTGGCATACCATGACTACTGAAATCAGTAACCATGGACATAGTTATTGGCCAAAATGTCTTCATTACCTGATACAATTCAGATTATAATTTTAGTCCAGTTTTATACCTAGGGTTAAAAAGTACTGCGCTTTCCTTTTGTGACGACTGGTCTTGCATACTCTACAAAATCATCTATAAGAACAGGCCATGCTCCTAAAAGAAAACCAAACAGTTTTTAAGGAATGTTTTCATACAAGAAGTTTTACAGGCCTACTATTTAAATGTCAAGAATTGAAGGCATCATGCATTAATGAATCTTATGATTAATAGAACCAACTAGCTGAAAGAAGCAGTATAGTATTGTGCATAGAAAGGTAATCTTGAAGGGAGCAAGATCCAGGTTCAAGTCCAGCCTCTGACACATGCTGACTGTGTGACTTTGGAGAAGTCACTTAACCTTTCAGTGATCTAGGCAACTCTCTGAAACTAAGCTACAGAGAAGGTGCTTGGTGGAGGGAGGACACGTATATTTATGGTGGAATGCTTTCCTCACTCCCCTCCATTGATCAAGGTCCAATTCATCTAGATTGTGTCTAATCTCATAATCTTTCTATTTTTCCTAAATGCAATACAAATTAGAATAAGGTATTTATTGTATAGTTACACTGAACATTACTTGATAAAAGTTTGCTGATGTCCCCCACCTCTTCTGTGAAGCCATTCCAGACCACTCTGGTCCAAGGTAAATTCTACTAACCCCTCTGGGTGGCTAAAGCATTTTCTGTCCTTTTCACACCCATTTGCTGCAATATGCTGTCTGACTGTTCTTTAGAGTACCTTTTCTCCCTGAGGAGACTGCAAGTTTCTAGGGAACAGGAACTATACCTTATACTTTATGTATTTTCCATAATGCCTCGCTCAAAATAGAGGACTTGAATTTTGTTTGTCTGATTTACAATACTATTAGGTGAATCAGAAAACAAGATCTTACATATAAAGTATGAGAAAATCTTAAAATGTCCTATCAGAGTAGAGCAGAATAAACATCCTAAGAATGAACCATTATGTTAAAATATTTTTTGTCACTATTTCAGACATTCAAATTTAGGCATATGATGGTGGGGGGGCAGTTAACAAAGCTTTTAAAGTTGAGGAAGAAAGTTAATTTCACAGTGGATTTATAAAATGTTAGAAGTATATCTCTGAAATCTCAACTTCTTTACCTTCTTCATCATAGTTAGACATATCATCTGCAATCATATTTCCAAAATCTAGTAGAAGGTTCCAAGTGTCCTTTGGAATTGATCTTTTGTGATGTTCCTAATACATAAAAATTAATGGTTATATTTAAGATGAATTATATAGTATCCCTATAAGAGCCCTTCCTGGTCTCTCTCCCTTCTTCTATATTTCTTGGTGACTCTGGATATCCTCCTGGTCCTTATAACATCTCACTTTGAATCGTTACTGTACATGTAGTGTCCTCTCCATGACACCGTGACATTCTTGAGTGGAGAGCCCACTGTCTTTCATACTTATATCCCCATCACTAAGTATACATCCTTGCATACATAAGGTACTTGATGTTTGTGGAATGGAAGCAAGGACAGCAAAGTTGTTGAGTTTTTACAACTTGGCACAGGCTTTTGGCAAACTGTATCTCTTTGAAAAGAAGACAAATCCTTTTGTCTCCAACTTAAAAATAGAAACATACATTGGTTTCCTTAGAAAGAAAGAGTAAAAAGAGAGCTGCTATTGTTCAATTTTTAGTGACAGAATGCTATGAAACTATTAATTTGTACAAAGACTACATGATAATGGTAAATAGAGCTTTAGCTTTACAAACAAATGATGAAAAGAATTCTTTTAATGGATCTGACAAAAAACAACAGTATCTGAATACATAATAGCTGGCATTTATATAGCATTTGAAGGTTTGCAAAGCACTTCACAAAAATTCTCATCTTTATCTTCATAAGAGCCCTTCAAGGGCTACCTTCAAGGTAGGTGCTATTATCATCATCCCAATTTTACAGATGAGGAAACTCAGACAAACAGAGATTAAGTGATTGCCCAGGGTCACACAACTAGTTAAGTGTCTGAGGCAGAATTTGAACTCAGGTCTTCCTGACTCCAAGCCTAGTGCTCTATCCACTGTGTCACTGGCTGACCAGAATAAAAACTTCAACATATAAGAACTAAGAAAAAGTATAACCAAAAAAAGATTTTACTAAAAAATGTGCAAAAATCAAGACTTTAGAGGGTACTTAAAACAAATCTGAAGGATCAGATCAAGATGGAGGCTGTAGTAGGGAAACTCTGGATCAGAACAACTCCCATATATCTGTCCTATGTTCTCTTCTTATAACCAGCTTAAAATCAGATGTGCCCCAAGTCTGGTTAGGTACATGAGTTTGTTTTTTTTTTCTAGACCACTGGATTCTCCAATATGCAATGGAATATTCTAGTGTTCCTAGTGCCCATGTCTGCAGTTGCCAAAAAGGTTAGACAACTGTTTTTAGAGGAAAGCACCATCCTTATAATCTACAGATTTGACTTAGGCATTTGAAGTGATGAAGGAGGCAGGGGGCATACTTACCAATAAAAACTTATTCCAAAGATCTAAAAATTTAAACCTTCCAGATAAGACTAAATTCCAATAGGCAACAGCCATTTCTAAATCTGCAAAAGACAAAAAAAAAAGCCAGTTAATACAAATTTCCTTTATTCAAAATCATTGTGCAGTACTAAAATTACTTTATTACAACAATGGTAGTAAGGTTTTTTTTTATAAACATTTCATATTTATCTGGCCTAGAAATATATGAACCTTGCCTGTAAGTGACTGAAAATTGTGCGTAATTAATTTCTGCAAAACTAGCATTTTAACGTCAGGAAACTCTTTTGAAAGGATGTGAATTCTTTTACAAAATGTGTACAATTACACCGAAAACCAAAACATTTGTAAGTCTCATTTTCATATAGCAAAGTTTTCTTTGTGCTGGGTATGCTTACATTGATATTTGATAATATTCATATGCATATAATTTATAAGAGTCAGTTTTTTTCTAAAGTAAATATCAAATAATTTCAGTAAAGAATTCACATGTGTTTTTCTAGACAAACCCACCATGATATACCAGGAACTCTGTTCAATACAAAGTAATGAAAGTATCATAATAAATAACACAAGGTAGAAAGGAGTTTCTATTTTACATCATAAAGCGGAAACTGTAAGAGCTAGGGTGTGAAACAAATAGTCCTCACTGTTAAGAGGAATATTCTAAAAATTGTGGGATATTCAAAGATAGATCCTAAAATTTCCCCCTGGATGGAAATATGCCATTACTTCATAACTTATAAATTGTAGGACTGAATTTTTTTTCATTTGAGACTGGGTTTTCCTTTCTGACGCAGGCCAGAAGGGCAACAGTGACTTGAGGTCTGATCCTATTGTGGATTGTCATGGAAGCTTTGACCTGCTCCATTTCTGTCCTAGGATGCTTCACCTCTTCTCAGGCAGCCTGGTGGCCCCCATTCCCAAGGGCTCATTAGACTGGTACCAGACTTACAGCAGACACCTGATCATCACTAGCCCTAACAGCTCTAAACTCCTGGATACTCAAGCTGGTGTCAGCCTCTCATTAGCAGGGATTATAGGTGTATCCTACCACACTTGGCTTTTAGACTGAGATCTTAAAAAAAACGTATCTTTACGTGGGAGATAAATGCTGAATCTTTTTGACTGACTTACATTATTCCCAGATCATGATATTCAGAAATAACTTACCTCAACTAGCTAATCTTTTTTTCTCATGGTGCGATTGAAAAAGTAGATAAGGAGATAGGAAACTTTTTATCTTTGTCAAGCTAACAATCCTTAACCATGTTGAGCACTGCTCACTACTTGAGAAATAAAAACTTTGTTAAAGGGTGTTTTCCTAGTTGTAGATCTACAAATGAGTATAAGGTAAATAATAATACAAAATACATAAGAATAAAGGCAATGTCACAGAATATCTCACCACCAGGCAACAAACTGCATTAATTTTCAAAGGATTCTCTTTGGTTTTTAGTCCCACTATAGAGTTTTATTCATTAATATTGATTAATAAATTTGAAGTTTACACTATTGAAGACTTCCAGGGTCAGTCCTTATAGAGAGCTGTTGAACTAAAAAACTATGATTCAAATTCTGATGTTTCAACTTTCTAGCCACTAAAAAGAAGGGTCCATAATATTATCCCTTGATCTTACATTGCCAGGCCTTCGAGTTTTAATCTGGAAGAGACAATTAAAATCAACATCATAACCAACTGAGAAGGACAGAACTGCTCTCTCAACCTTACCTATAGCACCCGTAGTACAATGCTAAGTAGATGCTTAGTCTGGTCCTGCTCCTAAGTCTACACTGCTTATCACTTGGGAAGAGCATTAATTGAAATCTACATTCAACTCTCCCAGCTGGAATTATCATAATGATATAAAGCACACATAGAGAGAAATGGAGGTTTACCTAGGGGGAAAAAGAAAAAAAATAAAGTTTCATGAAAAATGATGCTTAATTTGGATAATTTCTGGTCATTTTAACCCTTGACTGGATTAAAGGCCCTTGGAAGGAACTTGCTTTCTATGTTTGTATTACCAGTTGTTTGTAAAAGCAAATTTATCTTCAGTATTAATTTATATAAAAGAGCCAAGAGTATGTAAGAGTAGATTTATGTGAAATCCATTATTATGTTTGTAGGATAAGCAGCTTGCATGGGGCAATAAATAAGTTAAAGTTGTCTTAAAGCAAAATGAAGGAAGATGAGATAGGAAAATGAAAAGGAACAATCATTAGGAAAAGGAACAAACATATCATTATTGAGTACACCATGGGATTCATAGAATAAAATGGATGTTTGGAGCAGCTATATCTAAAGATTCCAGAGAGCATTAAACCAACAGAAGATAGGAAAAGATCCTTTAAAATACTCCGCTGGTCTATCAGCTTTATGTTAGTTATGTTATAGTTCAGGCAAAGAGAAGACAAAGTGCTCATCTTCAAAATGTTATCTTACCATTGCGACAACAGCAGTTGTTATGATCAAGATTCCATCATATTCCCCCCCCTTTTTTTTCTCAAAATATATTAATTTCAGGCTAAGATTCTTACAAAATTAAACAAATAGGAACTTAACTTGTGTAAATAATTTTATTCAGTTCACACACAATCATGTACAGACAAAAAATATAAAATACTGTACCACAGGTAAACTTAAGGAGAAAATGAAGAAGCAGGTAATAAATGTACAAAGTATTATGGTGGTCATTTTTTTCTATTGCCCACATTTTTTTCACATTTTTTAGAAAGAGATATTAGGTCCTTTTAACATCAATTATGACAGTAGAGGTTCTTTAAATTTTTTTTATATCACGGACGCCTCTGGCAGTCTGGTGAAGCCCAGAGATCTTTCTCAAAAATAAAATTTTTAAGTGCATAAAAAAAATACACAGAATTACAAAGGAAAACAATAATATTGAAATACAGTTACAAAAAAAATGTAAAACAAGTTCATAGACCCCAGGTTAAGAACTTTTACATTATAATATTTTTACATCCATGATTGTATTCCTCTACTTAATTTTTCAAAAGATGGTATTCTAAATAATGTTTCTGGGCAGTTATACATATCATATGTCCTCATCTTTTTTTTTTGGCAATCATATAATAATCACTCTTCTAACGTTTCAGGGGAAAAACCTTCTATATGGACATGCTGGTGAAAGCATGGAGAATAATTCAGAAAAAAAGGAAACTAGATTCAAATTCTGGTTCTGGTACTTCTGAGTTGTGTCACTTAGGGCAAGTCAGGTCACTTCTTTCAGTCTCAGTTTCCTCATTCATAAAATAAGGAAATTGGACTCACTGATCTCTAAGGTCATATTCAGTTTTAAGTCTATAATCCTGGATATTGTTTAAAAAAAATCAAAGAACAATTATTTTAAAAGGACATTGTACTTTATTAGTTATTTATTCTTTTGCTCCTTCATTCAAATGGCAAAATTAATAGTTTATCTTAGTGTCCCCAACAGTTAGTTCAGTACCAGGCATAGAGTAAGTACTTAATAAATGCTTGTTGAATTGAACTGAATTCTCTTTAGCAAGGTATTAATTTACTGTATAAAGACATTCTGGGTTTTTCTTTAATAAAGAAAATAAGTATCTTAGGCATTCTGACTGAAAGATTGTTTTTTCTTTTTAATCAAGCACATTTGACAAATGTATTTGAACATATTGCATGTATCCTCAAATGTATTTGAGGAAATTTAATTCTTTTATTAACTGCCAGAAAATGTGCCAACTTTTTTTTCCTAAACAATGCCTTCCTTGAGCAGACCTTAACATTTCCTTTTTCTTTCCACATAAGTCACAACATGATAGACAACTAAGAGTTGATGGCAATGATCTAATTAGCAGTCATAAATACTTTCTGTCTAATAAGACAGAATGCATTTAAGGCTTCTGGTAGTCTACAAACATGATTTTGAAGACTAGAATATAGTAATAAAAAGGATGATTCATAACAACCAAATGATAAATAGTTTAATTATAGGACAAAAAAAGCATTCCAAAATCATTTTCATAGACTACAAACTATTTTCTTGCCTAGAATGATAGTTTAACTGGCAGAAGTTTTATCACTAATAAACTGATTTCACTGGTAGGCTAATCTCAGTGGAGCTCATTTAGTTTCCTGACGTATCATTGTTTCATCTGATGGCAATGGAATAAAATAATATTTTTTGGGGAAAAAAAAGGTAGTGAATCCACATACCTATTTGAAGAATTTCAACAGAATTCTAGGTTTTGTACTCATTTATCAGTTCATCATGTAGTTTAATAATGACATTAATATTAGGCTCCAAATGACTTTTCCATCTAACCACCTTCACTAAGAAAATCATTAACTATCATAGGACTGGAATGGAATAAAACAGAGAATACTAACCAAATTTATTATATTCCTCTATTTCAAGTAATGTTAGGCACTGACTCAATGAAAGCTGACTGTCACAGAAATTACTTGAAAGAAATGAAACATTTATGTTAGAACTCTAAGGCACATAAATGAGCTTTTTCATAAAGGAAGCTATTTCTAAATCAAACTTTACTTTCCGGTCATTTTGCAATTAAGTGATGTTCCACATAAAACTACAGCAAACTAATGATTTTTAAAATCATTATATTATATATTTTATTTTAAACGAAATCTTTAATACTATTCTAAAAATAATGCACTAGCTTTTACTTTGAATTTATATAATTTTGTGTGTGTGTGTGTGTGTTAGCATTACAAAATGGCTTAAAGGGCACTTGTAAAGAGAAGATTTAACACAACATCCTTTAAGTAAAAAATATCCCAATTCCACTTAATCATTACCATCCTTGTCAACTCACAAATAATTCGTAAGACCAAAATTTCTTAAGAACGTTCAAGAAGACAAAATTTTGTCTTCTCCTGGGCATCAATTACTAAACATTTATCTTTGTGTGAAATTCAGAAATTTGCTAAATATGGAACACATAAAATCAAACTAGCAAAATCATAGTGAAATATTGCTGAAAGTCTGACAAAACAAAAATAAAGAAGTTCAAGGGTAAAATACAGCCTTTTAATCCACATAACTCTGTATCT